CACACACACATTCACACACACACACACACACACACACACGCATGCTCACACACGCTCATACACACACACACACACACGCTCACACACTCACACACGCTCACACACTCACACACGCTCACATTTCACTCATACACGCTCACGCTCACACACACACACACACACACACGCTCACACACACTCACACACTCACATACGTTCACACACGCTCACACACACGCTCACACACGCTCGCACTCACACGCTCACACACACACACACGCACACTCACACAAAAAAAAAATTAGGCTTTATAGACATAGTGTTTCTTGAGTAAAGAATACGCTGTACTTATTCAAACATCAGTTCTTTATTTAGCCTTGCATTGTGATCGAGCAGAGATCTGTCTCCAGACTTCTGAATGAAGGCGGCTGGAGTTATGAGGTTTCGCTGACAGTCTGAGGATCCAATGGTGTTACGAGGCTTAGTCACAAGCTCTTTTGAATGCTTTTTTTGGTTAAATATTTGTAAAACTCACAAACAGATGTAAAGATGACCAATAGCATGGATTTAAAATAATAATAATAACGAAATTAAATTTTGATAATTTTCCGGCACACCTGACATGGCACAGTGGTTGGGAAACACTGCTCTCTCTCTCTCTCTCTCCCTTCCACCCTCCCTCCCCTAAGGGTTTTACAGGCCTGTAAATCATCATTTTAAAATGATAAAAAATGCCTCACAATATACACAAAAGGATACATATAAAGTCAGAAGCCTCGGCGTGTTTGAAGCTTTCAGAGTCACTGAGAGAAACTTCTCCAGGCTTTCTCTCAACTCTGGCATCCAGGAATCCTATGATCCGGTAAAAACAACGACAGCACATTAAAACCTCTTCTGCATCAAGCAAGTGCTCAGTGTACATGAGGTTCATCATACAGAATAATATGATTTTTCAGTATGCAGCAATATGACGTACCTATAAGAAAGTGTACCCCACTATCTAAGAACTAACGTCAGTTTTCAGAGATTTTTCTGCAATGACTGTTAATCAGCTGGTGTGTTGGTGGTTGGTAGTGGATGTGTGTTGTACCTGGAAAAGCTCCTGGAAGGACGGGTGTACCGTGGGATTGGGCACAAACGGCAGAGCGTAGAACGGCAGGAACTCGGTGGTCTGGCTCAGTGCCGCCCCTCTGGTCTCCAGATAGTGCTTGAAATGTGTGATCCTGCTGTCAAACTCTCCTTTATCCTGTATTACACAAATATATTTTTACATAAAAAAGAGAGAGTTTGCATCTTGACTGAAAGCTAATACTATGCCATTCAAATACTGATTCAAGTCATGTATTTGACTGAATGAGAGGTTGGCCTGAATGTTTTAGTTTATGAGGACATCTGTTGGTCAAACAGAATACAAGCATCGTAGATTTGTCTATTCAGTTAATTAAAAAAAAAGATAATTGTATTAATATTCCCAACAGTAAAGCGCACTTACGTGACTTCCTACCGGTGATTTCAGTGGGTATATTGTAAAATGAATTTGTAAGTGGAATTCCAGTTTCTGAGCTACTGGATCAAAATCCCGAATCTCCGGAGGAATGGTTTTAGCCCACAGCTCCGAGAATACCTTATAGTCGCCATCATTAAAAGAGCTGAGAAAATCCTCCTATAGGAAGAAACAAGTTATCAAGAGGTCAATTCACTTTTCAGTTGCTTTTCATTTTTAAGTCTAAATAAATACAGAAATAAAGGTTTTCTCTGATCTACATGTAAACATTTTTAAAAGCTGATCGGTTTAAAAAAAACACTACAACACACTGATTCTGCGATGTAAAAATTGTACATATAAATATCAAATTGATTAAAACTAAAAAAAACAAAATCCCCACCGACTTTCTTATGAAAAAGTGCAATTTTTTTTAAATTTCAATTCTGGCTAATAACACTAACAAAATAGGAAAAGGTAATTAAAGAGACAATTTAAAAGTTAAACTTTTGTTGATATGTTTGTATTAGAATTATATCAAAGCAAGCTGATCTGATAAAAACACACTGCAGATTGTCACTTCATGTTCTTTGAATAAAGGAGGTCCGTCTCACGTTATCATTTTACTTCGATGTCATTTTTAATGATTTTTAATCTTTCTTTTTTTTTTTTTTACCGCAATGTTCTACCGTCGTAAACGCGAGCCATGAACCGGATGTAGTAGTAAATCACGTGGCCGGAGGTGAAGCACATTGTTTCGCGGCATGTTTCATATTTGTGTAGAATGAGAAGAAAGTTGATGTTTTTCCCCATGGTTGTTATTTCCTATTTTTAACTGGAACGATCCTGCGCGCATTATATCTGGAGAAAGTAAATCATATTTGCTGAAATCGCTCATTTAAAACGCAATGTACTGCTGTCCCTGATACTAACGGGAGTGTTAGTGTGAGGCTGCACGAGACATTGCCATAATATTTATATGTTTTTACAGCTTTAACAGAGTTTTATATTAAATATTGAACTCTTTTGTTTGCTTGTTTTTTACCAGGATAATACATGACCAGTTGAGGAGTTTTTCCATTTATAGTTCAGTTCGTGTGTAAATGGCTGGGATTCTGTTCGAGGATATCTTTGATGTGAAGGATATTGACCCAGATGGCAAAAAGTTTGACAGAGGTGAGGAGATTTTAGTAAATAATGGATATATGTTCTAGTGGATAATATATATATATATATTATTGTCATTTATTTTTATTTAGTTTTCTTCAGTGCCCGTTATTAAAGTACTATTTACATAATTACATTATGTAATACATGATTACATTATACATTAAAAGCATTACAATACATTAATAAATAAGATTAAAATTGAAATAAAAGGAATGAAAATAAAAGGATTTAAACTTTTACTTAATTTAATTTTAATGTACTTTTTAATTGTATTTACTGTTTTAGTGTAAACACTATATTACATTATATATAACATATTGAAAAATAAGCATTTTTTGTTTTCTATGTTTTCATTTTTTATTATGTAAATGCTTTAAGAAATATTGAGGGAAAAATTATTCTTTTTATTGTCATCTTTTTATTTAATTTAAATGATCCATTATTGAAGTAGAATTTACATGATCAAGAAGTATTTACTTTTAAAACATTAAAGGTACATTAATAAAATTAAAACATTACTAAAAATGAAGTTTAAATAGATAATTAATTTGATTTAGTAATATATTTTGTAATGTAAATTCTACTTTTACTACTAAATAATAGCATACTGAATGGCACTGCTGTATATGTATAAAACGCACACAAAGCTTTTGTGAGGGAAGTACCATGATATAATATATTTTACATATATTCATATTTTAAAATTGCTGCTAGGTGTGACCAAGAAAAGTCTCTCAGTCGGTTTATTCAAAGCCATCCTTTCCTTAATAATCGTTTTACATTTTATTAAAAATAAATTCAGGAAAGACATCAGCAATTCTAAAAGTGTTGGTTTTGTGATTATCAGTGTCTCGTTTTCACTGTGAAAGTGAGTCTTTCAAAATGGACCTGATCCTCGACGTGAACATCCAGATTTATCCGGTTGATCTCGGTGAGTGATAGTCGAGCTCTTCAGTCGTGGTGGTGTTGTGTGTTTGATATGGTCTCATGATCATGATGTTGGCTCAGGTGACAAGTTCAGACTGGTGATTGCCAGCACGCTGTTTGAGGACGGGACGCCGGATGACGGGGAATACAACCCTCAGGACGACAGGCCGTCCAGGTCACACAACAATACACACAGAACCAAAACATTAATTAGAAAGAATATGCAAAACATTCAGATGTAGAAAATGAATTTCTCCTGTGTGAGAATGACTAACTATTAATCATATGCAAATACATTTATAAAAGCAAATGTCACATCCAAATAAATGCTATTTATTTATTTATTTTAAAGATATATTATGATAGGACAGTGTAGAGCAGACGTAAAGTGGGATCGGGAAAGGTTCGTGAGCCAGGACTCGAACTCGTGACGCCTGAAGCGCAGTGGCGCTGTATATCGGCGCTAACAACAGATTAGAGCTGCACGATTATGACAAAAATTGTCGATTATTCCCTTGAAATTGTAATTGCGATTATTAATTACGATTAGCACAATTTACATTGAATGATGTTTACACCACTGTTTGATGCAACCGCATGCCGTATTTTTATATGAAAATAAACAAGCTGAAAACACTCTACCGGAAAAACCTTTAGTGCTTTTCTATAGTATTAAGCCTCAAATGTCAAATATACATCGGATTGGTTTCTTCTTTAAATCACTGTGTGCTGTATGTAAAATGAGTGTTACCTTGACTTTATTTGAAAAAAAACTTCCCAGAATACTGAGTGCTCTGTTGGTTACAGTGTTTACTTCCTTTTTAATTATATTTTTATTAAATATTTATTTATTTGTGAAAAATACTTTGTCATCTAAAGTATAAGTATGTTTATTTAACACATTTATTTTTTAAACAATTTTCAAATGATTTCACATTTCTTAAATATTAATTCAAATAAATAAAATTATATCGGCTTTATATCAGCCATCGGCCACCCTGCTTTCCAAGATATCGGCATCGGCTGTCAAAAAACCCATATCGGTCGACCACTAACTAAAACTAAAACAATGGAAAAACCTTTAAGATAACATTTAGAAAGAAAAAAATGCATCTTAAGCGTGCAGAATAACATAAGAGGACTTTGAACGATTAATTGCCGCTTTGAACATTTACGTAATTGTGGCATCCGTAATTGTAATCACGATTAGAAATTTGATTAATTGTGCAGCCCTACTACAGAATGCTATTTGAAAGTTATTTTATCTAAATAATTAATCAGATTATTATTTTGTTAAATTTAACCTCATTTTAAACCAATTTAAAGTTGTTTATTCTTTGTATTTGATTGAAAAGTGGTGTTGACGTTTTTATTTTTAAACTGTACCATTCAAAGAAATGAACACTTATTTAGCAAGAATGCATTAAATTAATTCAAACTGACAGTAATACGACAAAAGATTTCTATTTCAAATAAATGCTGTTCTTTTGAACTTTCGATTTCGTCGAAGAATCTTGAAAAAAATAGTCTCACAAAAATATTTAGCAGCAAACATCGATAATAATAAGAACCATTATTAATAACTGAAGGATCATGTGACACTGAAGACTGGAGTAATGATGCTGAAAATACAGCTGCGCATCACAGAAATACATTACAGTTTAACAGAGATTCACACAGAAAACAGCTGTTTTAGATTGTAACTTCATTGCTCTTTTGCAGGGCTGATCAGTTTGATTATGTCATGTATGGAAAGGTTTATAGGATTGAAGGAGATGAAACCTCGACAGAAGCGGCCACACGACTGTGAGTTTCATTCATTCTGCCATTTTTTCCACTATTTAGTTTTTCCTAAAAGCTTTTATAACATTTGTAAATACATGCATATAAAATGCAAACACATAAATGCATATTTGTGAATTAAATTTGAATTTATTATTTTTAATTTATTTATTTGAAATCCATTTTTGAATATAAAATTGTTTATTCTATAATATAGCAATGTATTACACTACTTTCTAATCTAATCACTGATTTGTGCGTATGTGTGTCTGCACAGATCTGCGTATGTGTCATATGGAGGTCTGCTAATGCGACTTCAGGGAGATGCTAATAATCTGCATGGATTTGAAGTGGACTCCAGGGTCTATCTCCTGATGAAGAAACTGGCTTTCTGATCGTGTCTCATGTCCTGAAGGACACTCGCTTCTGAGGACTGAGAAAACATATGCATTCTTATCATCATCATCACGTTTTTCTTCTTTTTTACCTTTGAGGCTTTCCCGTTGATGAGAAACTGGTATTGCTAATAATATCTGGAAACTGTGGCCCATGGTACATTACTTTAAAAAAACATATATGGTTACACATATATATTCAAACCATACGACTGCTCAGTTGATGAACTGTTTTCTCATTGCATCTAGTGCATGTGCACTACATCGGCCAAACAAATCTCTGGTGAATCATTAGCATCTCGCTCAAAAATGACCAAAGAGTTTCTATATTTTTCGTTTCTATATTTAGGCGCTGCGTAATATCATTGCGCAGATTCAATGATCTATGCTAAGCTACAGCTAAAAGTGCTACCGCCAGACCCGGAGATCGGCTGAATGGATTTGAAAACGGTAAAACTCAACTGTTTAACTCTAGGGGAGATGGAAAATTAGCCTATTTTCAAAAATAGTGGAGACAAGTCTGAATGCTCTCTCAGATGAGGGAGGCTTGGGGAAAGGTCCCTATGCATGCATGTAATAATTGCATCCTGTGCATTTAAACAAATACAAAATAACAGGTTAAGCAAAAACGGCAAAGATCGTGTCCCAGCATAAATGGGAATCCAGTTTAATGTGATTTAAACGACATAAGTGTGGCAGTGTGTGCAACAGTGTTTGCAGTGTGAGGAGTGGAATGGAAATTACAAGACGTCTCAGTGGCTCAAGTCTGCAGTCAGATGAGGGGCCTGAACGTAATATTTAACCCCTGATTATCTCTATACTGTGGCATAGGAGAGAATTTCACATTATGATTCAGAGTATTGGCACTTTCCTTGAATGAGAAACAAACACTCAGGGTCTGAAGCTCATTTTTCCTCCTGTTTGGGTAAGTGGTCGGTGAAAGATGCTTATGGAAGCTGTTTCTGCCACTGAATAAAAGACAAAAAGTGCAACTGCGACTTTTTATCTCAATTCTGACTTCTTTTATCTTGCATTTGTGAGTTTCAGATTTTTTCAAAAGTCAGTCAAAACTTAGAATTGGACGTTATAACGTTTATGTAAATTTTCAATTGCAAGAAAAAAATAGATGTGAGAAAAAAGTAATAATTACATTTTCAGTGACGGAAACCGGCTTCCAGATACTTGATCATCGGTAAATATCGAAATACATTTTAAATCCCATATTTGTCATTTTCCAGCAATAAATAAACGACAAATTTGTAACTTTAATTGTTAAACAGAAAATATATGTCTTAAAATCAAACGAACAATATAAAATATATTTAGTAAATTAAACTTTTACTTCTGTATAATTGTAACTTTCATTTTAAAGTATAAAATTTATATAAAATGTACATTTCATAAATATATAATATATATATAAAACAACTTTTTGTTTAATTTTTATTGCTGGAAAACAAGTCCGGGTTTTAAGTTAAAAACTTGCATTTGCCATGAATTTATTTTATATAATGTTACAATTTTGGTAAAAAAAACACACACCGTAACAGATTTCGGGTGAGTGGGTTACATTACAATTTTAGGCGTTAAAAAATATTTCAATATATTTTTAGTACAACACATTGAATATCAGTTTAGCAGTCAAAAATATTTAATTGTATTGTTTAACAGCTCAGTAGAAGACCTTTTGTGCATTTAAAATGTATCTTTCATGCTATGGCTATGTTTATAATATTTGAAAAATATGAAATTAAGACTCTGTCATCGAGTCTGCTTAGTTTAAATAGTTTTCTTGATAATTTAGTCGAACTTTTAATTCCAAGGTAAATGCGAGCGGTGTAGCGACAGCCGGAAGTGACGCCAGACTGACGTTCCCAAGGTGCGTCGTTTACTGCGGCTGCCGTCAAAATCACTTGCGTTCAAATAATGCACGTATTGTTTTGAACAGGACTGACATGCTGTGTGCTGCTGACGGTCTGCATTACATTACAGCGCCGCTGGTTCAGAGTCAGACCTGCGTCTTTAATAATCCGGCGACATTAGTGCTGAAAGTAGGCGTGTGTAGTACGTAGTGTGTAGTATGCAGTGTGTAGTATGCAGTATGCAGTGCGGTAGAGCGCACTGACGGAGCGCTGCAGTAATTGGTGGCAGTGTCCTGATCATTACGTGCTACGGGCCGCGATAAAATGGGTCCAAATCGCTGTGAAAAGTTATAAAGATTATAAAGAGAGAAAAATGGACTATAGACGCAAAAGGAGACTGACGTTCTTCACTATAGGACTGATCTTCTTACTGAGCGGCATTGAGTACGGTAAGCTGAGTATGGTACTGCTGTCCGGGGCACAACAGTTTACATTTCTACAGTACACTATGGGCTTATATACACTATGGGTTTATATACACTATGGGTTTATATACACTATGGGCTTATATACACTATGGGTTTATATATATATATATAAGCAGTATGACATCACATTACCATGGTACACATCACAATATTACTGCGGTACCATGTCAAAAATAAAATAAAAAATCAGTGTTTTTTTGTTATATGTGTATTAGGCCTATAATTGGTATTATTATCTATTAATAATATTATTATTATATTTACTTAACTTTTTACTTTTAGTCATTTAGCAGACGCTTTTATCCAAAGCGACTTACAAATAAATGTGTATTATATATTGTTATATGTGTATTATTATTATCTATTAATAATAATCTATTCATATAAAATAATAATAGAATCGCCTATAAAATAATAATGTTGCTGAAACATCCAGCAGTCAGGAAAATTATTAATTGTTAATTAAGTTCATTAGAATTTGGATTTATTGGAACTAGAATTTGAACACACTCAACATGTTGAATTGGAATTTTAATAGATTTGAATTGAAATCGATTTTGATTTTATTGAATTTGAAGTTGAATTGAATTCAAATTGATCTGAATTGGAATTTAAATGGAGTTGGAACTTATTTGAATGTGGATTGATCTGAATTATCGGATCAATTGATCTGAATAATGAATTTGGATTTTAATTTTATTTGGAAATTAAATGTGAATTTGCCACAAGCTCCACAAAATTGATTTGAACTCAAATTTAAATCGAAACAACCCCACACTCTACAGCATGTTGAACTAGAATTTGAATTGATGTGAATTGCAATTACCATGATACAAAACAATTATCATTTATTTAACATACTATTAACACATACAACAAGTTACTGGTTCTCTAAAACAGCATGATATTACTATGGTACACAATACACATCAAAATATTAATATTACTATGTCATTCATTCATTCATAGATAGATAGATAGATAGTTATTAGTGTATTATTTTATTTGGATTCCATTTGAGTGTATAAATATATAAATAATAATGGAATATAAAATAATAATGTTGCTAGATTTTTCAGTAGTCAGGATAATTCTCAATGGATTCTCAGTTCTCAAGGAGACTGGGTCACATTCATCACAAACGTATAACGCGATGTTGCTAATAGCAGTGATTGAATTGTTACTTGTTTCTAATAAAACTTACCCTATAAATCAGACATTTTCCGACATGCCTGTCTCAGAATCGCTCTTTGTGTTCAGAGATTCTTCAGATTTTTCAGAGCCCTAAGTCACAGAGTTTCTCTCGTAATAAACTGCCATTAGTTACTAATCTAGCTATCAAGATAATAGTTCAAATACCAGATCAGATGTGCCCGTAATGTAATGAACATTGCTGTCACCTAATGAATGTCTGTTTTCATTTCAGCTGTGATTTTGCCCACAATATGGAGGTATCTGCAGACGTTAAATGCAGCGCCGTACTTTCTTGGTCTCAGCCTATCAGCGTTCAGCTTCAGCGGGCTTCTCGCTGGTCCTTTGTTTGGCCTCTGGTCAGATCGCACACTCTCCACCAAGAAAATCATCCTGTTCGCCAATGTCTTTGAGATTGTTGGTATGTTTGGACTTAAAGGAACAGTTCACCCAAAAATGAACATTTGCTGTAAATGTTCTCTTCCTCAGGCCATTCGAGATGTAGATGAGTTTGTTTCTTTATCAGATTTGGAGAAATGTAGCATTGCATCAGTGTCTCAGCAATGGATGCTCTGCAGTGAATGGGTGCCGTCAGAATGAGAGTCCAAACAGCTGATAAACACATCACAATAATCCACAAGTAATCCACACCACTCCAGTCCATCAGTTAACGTCTGGAGAAGACAAAAGCTGCGTGTTTGTAAGAAACACATCCATCATTAAAATGCTTTAATCTGTCAATTCTGTCCATAAATCCATAATCCATAATAATGCTTCCTCCAGTGAAAAAGTGCATCTCCTGTTGTCTCTCACATCAAAATCCACCCACATATTTGTTTAGAGCTGTTTTGGCTTGTGAACAGTGCTTGATCTGCGCAGCTTTCTCTCCTGATTCAGACCAGATTTGTCACTGGAGAAAGCAATATTATGGATAGAGGACTCATATTTTAGCCAGACGCAGTGGTTTAAAGATAAAACGTCTTAATGATGGATTTGTTTCTTACAAACAAGCATATTTTGGCTTCTCAAGACATTAACTGATGGACTGGAGTGGTGTGGATTATTGTGATGTTTTTATCAGCTGTTTGGACTCTCATTCTGACGGCACCCATTCACTGCAGAGCATCCAATGCTGAGACACTGATGCAGTGCTACATTTCTACAAACCTGATGAAGAAACAAACTCATCCTAATCTTGGACTGGCTGAGGGTGAGCACATTTACAGCAATTTCACCATTTTTGGATGAACAGCTCCTATAATGAAGGCTACGCTTGCAGTGTTGGTGGCTTTTGGGTAACATCTCTTTCTGTCTGTTTTTAGGTAATTTCATGTATTTTATGGGATACTCCAAATGGCTATTGCTCTGCAGTCGTCTAGTTGCAGGTGAAGTTTCAGTCTAATTCTTTAAGGTTATGTCTATTTGAATGCTTTAGTGATTTAACCAGTTTCTAATGCTCTAGGTATTGGCACTGGTGCTGGATCATCTATCTTCAGCTTCTTGACTAGAAATACAGCCTCTGAGGACCGTTCGACTGTTTTCGCTGCGGTTATGGCCTGCCGTCAAGCTGGGCTTCTGATTGGTCAGTGAAAATAAATTAGTAGACCATACAAGGAAATTAGGATTTGTGCAATGAAATATTTTAATTGCTGTTTATATTCAGCAGGTGTTCTACCGAACATATAGTTTGATTAATTATATGTAATAAATTATTTATAACAATTAAATCATTATATTTTTATTAATTATAATTATATATATATTATTTCTGGTTCTCGTAATGACATCAGTTTCTGTATTTAATTTAGAGGTGTTTTTTTTGTATATTTTGTTTTGTGTGTTGTCTTCTAGGTCCTGCATTCAATATCTTTCTCAGACTCTGTAACTTCCAGATCGGACCTTTCACAGTGAACAAATACACTTCCCCGGGGGTAAGATCAAGAAGATTTCCAGTTGACATTGTATGAGGCATCTTGACGTTTGCAAATGTGCAATAAACAGATGTATTTATGTGTTTCAGCTCTTCATGTGCCTGCTGTGGATCCTCCTTCAGTTTATAGTCCTGTTCATGTACTGGGACTTCACTCCTCAAGACCAAAGGTGTCAGAGGAACGGAGTGGAGCGGGAGGAAGAAGAGGAGGGCGAAGAGGGCGAGGAGGGCAAACCTTTGGTTGGGCCCAATGAGCTCACTGGCTCATACGGGACGGTCACCAGCGTCCAGTCCAGGACCTCTTCAGTGGCCAACGGTGATGTGACTCATGTTTCCCCTCCGCCTTCACCTCCACCTGAGGACCTCAGCTCCAGTCCCTTCAAGAACTTCAGTGCTAGCAGAGGTGAGAACCAAAATGTACTCAAAGGAGAACTTAATGATCCTTAAAACATCACACACTACATGTTCAGATAAGTTTGAATCTCACTTGATATAAATCAAATCTGGAAACCTAGTTTGACGTATTTCAGAGTTTACTGTCTGCCTAATACAGAACAGGTTTTTGTACGCCAAATTTCAGACTCACTGTGGGAATCAGCTTGGCTTAAAATCCATTTTTCATTGTTTCTACTTTCAGAGTTCCTCAGAGAGGAGGTGGTTGTGCTGTTGGCTGCTCAGTTTATCACACTGTTTAATCAGACCGCTCTGGAGGTGAACACACACACACACACGCACGCATGTGTTCATGTGTTGGGATTAAATTGAATTGTCCACACTCACCATCAAATGTTGAAATGGATGAATTTGAATTGAATTTTGACTGGATTTTAATAGAATTTTTCCACACACTTCACAGAATGTTGAATTGGAATTTGATTGGGATATAAATTTGCACTGATTTGGAATTGAATTTGCCATACACACCACAGAGTCCGCGTGTTCCTTCTGGTCATTTGCTTTTCTACTGGCTCTCCTGTTGAAAATGAACTGAGCTGGCGGTTGCCGCCTATACGGTGCAGTACAGAAGATGGGGGATGAAAAATTCTAAATTTATTTGGAATTTTCAGCGCCGCCGCCCACACATTCGAAACAAATATTAAATCATAATCTCATTTTTTTACCCATGAACAAAAATACAAAAAATCTAGCTTAATTTTTGTTTTTCTGTTTCTTAAAGGGGTCATATGATGCTTTTTAAAAGATCAATATTTTGTGTATTTGGTGTAACAGCATATGTTGACATGCTTTAATGTTCAAAAAACACATTATTTTTCAAATACTGTACATTATTGTAGGTCCTCTAAAAAAACAAAAAAAAAGAAAAAGGAGCCATTTTCTCATTTTTCTACTTTCAATATTAAATAAAAAAAACGAATGATCGAATGATACACGGATTCATACACTTCACAGAATGTTGAATTGGAATTTGAATGAATCGGAATTGTAATTTGAATTGGAACTGGAATTGGATTTGATTTGATTTGGAATTTGAATTGAATTTGCCACACAATTCACAGAATGTTGAATTGGAATTGATTTGGATTTGAATTTGAAATTAAATTTGCCACGCATTCTATAAAAAGCTGAATTGGAATTTGAATTTAAATTGCATTTGCCACAAGTTCCACAAAATGTTGAACTGGAATTTGAATTCATTTAAATTAGAATTTTAATTGAATTGCAATCGCAGCATGCCCACAGGATTTTGAACAAGAATTTGTATAGGCCACTCCCAACAGGATTTTGAATTGAAATTAAATTGATCATAAATCACATTCTGATTCTGAATTGTAATTCAGATTCAACACAGTTACACAAAAGTTTTGCGGCAATCCCGAAAAACCACTTTGTTTTCAGTTTGTCTATAGAATGAAAGTTAATTTATTTACATATTTTATATATTTATATATATATATAAATTAAATACTTTAAGGTTTAAAACATTTAAATGGATTATATACATTTTTGTTTCTTCTACCTTAAATTCAAATTTGAATTACAATTATGCATCCAATTTGTTGATTAATTTCAGATTCAATAATTGATTTGGAAAATAAAAGGTATTCACATTTATAGCTGGTGGAAATCACTTGCACTACTCTATATGGCAAATAATTATTTCTTACGTGTGATATTTAGTCTTGTTGTTCCTCTAGACTATGGTGACTCCTCTGACACAGAAGTTCTTTAACTTCGGCGAGTTGGAGAACAGCATCATGTACTGTCTGTGTGGCGTCGAGGTGATCGCTGGCTTCCTGTTCGTGCGCTGGTTGAGCAAGCGTGTGGCGGAGCGAGTGGTGCTGGCCGTCGGCCTCATCCTCTGCAATATCTCCTGTGTCTGGTGCATGATCTTCCTGGCCAATCCTCAGGGTAAGAAGAACACACAGAACTGTGGATGTTGTTCTTATTAGCTGTAAAATCCCTCACGGCTCTCAAATTATTCTTTGGTTTAGGAGGATTTGCGTGGCAGCTGGCGGAGTTCATCATTGGTGTTTTCCTTCAGGTCCTGGGCCTTCCTTTTGTGGCAGTCGCCCAGGTGTCTCTCTTCTCCAAAATTACATCAGAGAAGACACAAGGTTAGTCCTATGAACAGAGTAGCTGCTTAGTAAGTGCCTAGAAACAAGTCGGAACACTTGAGGCACGGTCACATTTACCATTGTTCAGCGACTCAATAAGAATCCAAGCGATCTGGAATTTCTCTTGAGGGTGAAAGATTTCTACATGCAAAGTTCGCAACGGGTCCAATGGGTTGGTTACATTGATGTGCTGTTCAGTTTTAGACAATTAATCTTTTTTTCGCCCACAAAATTTTGATAATGTATGGAAGCCCGTTTCCACCACTGAATAAAAAATAAAATTACTTTTTAAAAATCTTGCAATTCTTGTTTTTATTTCCTCGCAATTCTGAGACTTTTTTTTCACAAATCTGACTTTTTTCTCGCAATTCTGATATTTTTTCACAATTATGACTTTTTCTCGCAATTCTGAATATTTGTTGCAATTGCGAGTTTATATCTCACAATTCTGACTTTTTTTCTTGCAATTTTGACTTTTCTCACAATTGCAAGTTTATATCTCGCAATTCTGACTTTTTTAATCTCACAATTCTGACATTTTCTTACAATTTTGCCTTTTTTTAAATGTTTTTCTCACAATTGCAAGTTTATATCTCACAATCCTAACTTTTTTCTTGCAATTTTGACTTTTTTTCTCGCATTTCTGACTTTTTTCTCGTAATTGTGAGTTTATATCTTGCATTTCTGACTTTTTCTCATTGTTGCGAGTTTATATCTCGTAATTCTGTCTTTTCTCAGAATTGTGAGATATAAACTCGCAGTTACTGTTTTTATATTTTTTTTATTCAGTGGTGGAAACAAGCTAACATAGTAGGGCTGCACGATTAATCGAAATTAAATCGCAAAGGCGATAAATCATGATTAGGCAGAAGCTGTGATTGTCATGCGTATCTTTCAGTGAAGCACGGTTCTGTGATCAGCAGTAAATCTCCATCCAAAGGCCAGAGAAACTCCAAATACGCCTCGCAGAAGAAATCCAGGAAATCCATATCGCTGCAGCTGAATAAACAGAAGATTCAACTGCTTTCATTGATTCAACGTGACTAATAAACACACGACTACAACAATATACGTTTTATCGGAGTTCTGATTATTATAATTTTCATTAAAATAAAGTATATTTATAATGCAATGCCTTTATCACTGCTTAAATACTATGAAATATGTTGCGTGCCTTATTCTGTGTAAGAAGCCACATCATCTCACAAAAGGATTTATTTCAAACACTCGACTGACGTTATGAAGTGAGTTTGGAGTAAAAATATGTTATTAAATGTGGTATTTTCACATGCTTTCAGATGGAGCAGCATTTACTACACAGAGCCGTAGTTCACTGACAAGCTACGCAAACAGCTGTCATAATGGCAGAACGATTTCTTCGATTTCATAATTGTGCGATTAAATCGTCTGCGATTATGAATGCCATTTTGCGTAGCTTGTCAGTGAACTACGGCTCTGTGGTATCGAAAGAATAAAATTATTGAAGAGAATCACTGATTAATTATTTTGGCAAAATCTTATTTTTTCTTAAGGAGAAAAAAAAACGGATTCATTGCTATTTACCATTTCTCCATCTGGTACAATCAGTAAGCATAAACATAAATATATACATAAATACATCATTTGTATAAGTAAAAAAAAATATGTTTGTTAATACACACACACACACACACACACACACAGATAGATAGATAGATAGATAAAAAAGATAGTGAAAATAAAAAAGTAGCTTATTATTTAACAATATTCTTTCTTTGTCTCTAGGTTTGACATCAACTAGATTGTGCCACTGTCGGTGAGCTGTTACTGAATCTTTTGACTCAATAAATCTTGAGAAATCAGTCTAGGTTTGACACACTGACAGTTAATGCAGCTCCAGCTGAAACACCATCAGTGACCACTGGACAACACCTGGATTGACTGCAACACAAATAAACAGCAGTGAATGGAGACCACAGGAGAGGGGTAAGACCAGCATAACAAGCAGAATGACAAAAGCAAAGGCGAGGCTGCTGAATAAATCAGGTGAATCTCGGCTCTGTGCAGAGCTTTGATCAGGGCCAAGACTCTTGTGATAAATGGATGTTTCTACTATATTTCCTATGGAAATTCCATCAGATCAAATGTTTTAGGATTTAGAACGAAAGGCCACATCCCGAGGGAAAATCCATTCATGTGCGTCATGATGTTTTTATATTAATACAGAGATTAATGCAATGAGTTTAGAACAATATAGATTTGTTGATGATTGATTATTTGTTTTTAATGTATTAATTTCCTTTTTTTTTTTCTTAAAAAAACAAACAAATCATATTCTAACCTCAGGTCCAAAGTACCAGGGCTGCAGATTAAATTATATATATATATACAATATATATATATACATATATACATACAACCCATTAAAATAGGGACATTTACTATATTTGGATAAATAAAAACAAAAAAAGTACCAGGGCTGCAGATTAAATTGTGAGAAAAAAATGTCAGAATTGTGAGATAAAATTCATTAAAATGAAATGCAATTAATTGTTTTTTATTTTATCAATTTATTAATTATTATTATTTATCATTATTATTATTTTACAATTCAGTGGCTTAATATTCTTATACATAGAATATTTTTTTTATCTAAAATTGATCAAACAAGGATGACTTTTTTCCTATAACAGTTAAACTATAGTGCTTGACAAAACACAAGAATATGATTTCATTTCATAAAGATCAAACTATTGTTTTTAAATGGTGAATTGTCTCAGCATGACAGGGTTGAACAGAAAGTTCTGCATGATCTAAAAATATATAAAATATTTTAGAAAAAAAAATGTGAAAGCACAACATTTAAATTTGTTTCATTTATGTTGTTAATATTATTAAAATAATAATAATAATAATAATATTTTAATAATATCATATTACAATGATATTAATTTCTTTTGCATTGCACTAAAGACTAAAGGTAAATGTGCAATGATTGAGATTATTAGTATGTTCATTGAATGACTGTAGAATACAGCTATACATAAACTGTACACTAGAGGACGACATTAACTCACATAAAACAATCCCGCAACCACGGAGAATGACTGAGAAATATTGAGGCATTCATAAATCTACAATAAACTCATTACTCCTTGATTGTCTTCTGCACTGGCTGACTTGTAAAAGGACTGTATTTGATTAAACTGCACACTGCGTTCACTATATGCAACAACATATTACTCTTCAATTAACATGCATAAGAACGAGATTATAGTCTGTTACTATGGTTTTGTTCTTTTTTTTTTTTTAGCAGAAATATGTTGTCCTTAATATTCGAACAACAAACAAACAAAAGTGATTTTTGTTTTAACATATTTAATGTGTCATAATTTGTGTCATGGATCTACATGCGCCAGACAATATTTGTTTAAAAACTGTATGCATTTTTACTTTCGTTTTTTAGTGCAACTATATGTATATAATTTATAATTTATAAACTATATGTATTAATATTGTGCTGTGTTTTAAATGTTCTGAATTTAACTTCTCAGCTTCTGATTAATTTACAAAGGTCAGGCTAGATTTTGTTAGATTTGTTAGACAAATTTGACATTAACTTTTCAAATGGGAGCATTCATCTAAAATTAATTTAATAATTATTGGGGAAAAAAAAACACCTTCAGTACTCTATTGAAACATTTTCTGTTTCATCCTGAAAATACTGGGATCTGTGTTCTGATGGGAATCATCCAGGTGCTTCTCCACAAAGTCTTTATCTTTGTGTGTGTGCAGTGTTTTCCGTTATGTTATTCTCCCATAAAGCCTATTTTTACCCCGTGTTTCTTAATAAACTGAAAAATGTTGCCAGGCCGACTACATCTGGATGATTCACTTGTGTTACATATTTTTCTGCTCTCTTAAGGATGTTTATCGTTACAAAAATAAGAATTTTCTGATTACACAATATCAGATTTTGGTTGAAAACTATATATAATCAGTACATAAACATGCTAAGAACTTTCATTATAAATTATATGCAAAACCTTTTAAATAAAAATAAAAAAAATAACCTGACGATCATGTATCTTGTATTGCAGAATGTTAAATATTTCTTCTTCGTTTTATGTCAAAAAGTTTCTTTATTTATTAATTTTTTTTAAATCCTACATTTTCAGTTATCTCCAAGTCTAAATTGAGTTTTAATCCCAGATTTTGCTCTACATATCTAGATGAAATATGCAAATATGAGCTGTAGCATAGCATTGATATTTCTATCTTATTATTAGGCGTACCATTGCAAAATAGTTCTCCTAAAACATTTTAATATTAATATCCACAATTCAAATAATAATATGTGACCCTGGAACACAAAAGCAGTGTTAAGTCGCTGGGGTATATTTGTAGCAATAGCCAAAAATACATTGTATGGGTCAAAATTATAGATTTTTATTTTATGCCAAAAATCATTAGGATATTAAGTAAAGATCATGTTCCATGAATATATTTTATAAATTTCCTACTGTAAATATATTAAAACGTAATTTTTGATTAGTAATATGCATGGCTAAGAACTTCATTTGAACAACTTTAAAGATGATTTACTCAATATTTAGATTTTTTTGCACCCTCAGATTCCAGATTTTCAAATAGTTGTATCTCGGCCAAATATTGTCGTATCATAACAAACCATACATCAACGGAAAGCTGATTTATTCAGCTTTCAGGTGATGTATAAATCTCAATTTCGAAAAATTGACCCTTATGACTGGTTTTGTGCTCCAGGGTCACATATTATAAGGATATTTTTGTAACACATATTAATTTTCATTTTCGCATGAAACTTAAGCCCAAGAAGACTTTACTGATGAATTTTAGTCTGTTATTAGCAAATTACACAGGACTCTTAACAGGCATGGAAGTATCAGAGAAATAAAATAAAATAATGCATCATATATTATAATTTGACATGAAAGATTTGTGTTTTCATCCACAAAAGTAATCAGACAGCTTTGAAAACACCGCT